AGGAGGAAAAGGAACACGAGGAGGGGGTGCGGAAGCGATGCTATGATGCTGGTGATGACAATGATGATGTTTCGCTTGGCAATTGTGATGGTGATGCTGATGTTGGTGATGAAAAATGATGACGATGATGACATTGCTGCTGGTGGTGTTGAGCATGCTGTTTATGATTTTGATGATGGTGGCGATGGTGGAGACGGGGATGATAAGGATGAGGAGGATGATGAAGAGGAGCAAGAGGTGGAGGGGGACGAGGAGGAGGAACAGGAGCAGGAGGAGCAGGAGGAGGACGAGGAACAGGAGAAAGAGGAGGAGCAGGATGAGGGGGAGGAGGAGGAGGAAAACAAGGAGGAACAAGAGGAGGACGAGGAAGAGGAGGAGGAGGAGGAGGAGGAGGAGGAGGAAATGGAGGAACAGGAGGAGGACGAGGAAGACGAGGAGGAAGACGAGGAGGAGGAGGAGGAGGAGGAGGAGGAGGAGGAGGAGGAGGAGGAGGAGGAGCAGGAAGAGGACGAGGAACAGGAGAAAGAGGAGGAGGAGGAGGAGGAGGAGGAGGAGGAGGAGGAGGAGGAGGGAGGAACAGGAGGAGGAGGACGAGGAAGGAGGAGGAGGAGGAGGAAATGGAGGAACAGGAGGAGGACGAGGAAGACGTGGAGGAAGAGGAGGAGGAGGAGCAGGAGGAGGAGGAGGAGGAGGAGGTCTATCGTAGAAAGGAGGAGGGCCCCCCCCCACCTGGAAGGTCAAGTTCTCCCTGCTCGCCTGGCTGCTACCGCGCCAAGGTCCTTGCCCTGGCAAGGACGAGGATGAGGATGAAGATGAGGATGGCGAAGGACGAGGAGGAGAAGGAGGAGAAGGAGGAGGACACGGACCGCCGATATCAGCAGGGTATCCTCTGGGCACCTCACGGTCGCCTCGGAACTCGGGCGTGATGTGAATGTACGGCCCACTCGCGCGGTCTGGCGACGGCGAACCGATGGCCAGCGCGAGCTTTCCCACAACGCGCACGCGCCGCTGGTGATGGTGGACCTTCCACACGCTGCACGCATAGCTGGCGCAAGACGAGGAGGATAATAAAGAGGATGAGGATGAGGATGAGGATAATGATGACGACGACGACGACGATGAGGCGGAGGAGGAGGAGGAGGAGGAGGAGGAGGAGGAGGAGGAGGAGGAGGAGGAGGACGGCAGCGGCGGCCACTGCACTCCCACTACAGGAGCGGTGTCGGATTCGTACCTTCTTCGCTGTCTTGTAGGAGCCGCGGCTGGCGAGGGGGCCAGCGTCAGCCCCCTCGACGAGCCAGGACCTGCCTTGGGCACCTGCCGACTTGGGGGCTCTCTGTGCCGCGCATGCGAAGGCGCAGGGATGCCCAAAGGCCAGAGCCTTGCTCGAGGACGAGGGTCGGCCGCGGGAGGAGGGAGGAGGAGGAGGGAGGAGGGAGGAGGAGGAGGAGGAGGAGGAGGAGGAGGAGGAGGAGGAGGAGGAGGAGGAGGAAGGAGGGAGGAGGAGGAGGAGGCGGAGGAGGAGGAGGAAGGAGGAGGAGGAAGACGCACCTGGCCTGGGTCGGCCAGAGGCCCCTGCCGCGAAGCCGGGCCGGCCGCTCGGCAGCTCCCGGAGCCCGGATCGGCGGAGGGCCGGGGCGGCGGGGTCGGCCCCACGTGCAGTCGGGGCGTTGACCTAAGGAAGCCTAAATAAGGAACGAGGCCCCTATTTTCCATAAGCTCAGCTTCGATCTCGTATCGAAAACCTAAGGAACATCTAAGGCAAGCTGCGAAACAATCAAAGAACACTGAGCCCCTCCCCAACGAAAAGGGTTCCTTCTTCAGGGCCCCGACTGTACCTCCCAAACCTGGGTCGGCCAAGTGGGGCGCGGAGGGGATTGGACGACCCTCGTTGGCACTGAGCCTCCGCTGCGCGCGCCGCGACGAGGCTCTGGGCCCCCGCGCCCAGGGGAGAGGGGCGACGAGGCCGCCGAGGGGGAGGCGGCGCGGCGTGGAGCAGAGGAGAGAGGCGTTCGCGCCGCAGCCGCCGCCCGCCCCTGCTGCTGCTGCTGCTGCTGCTGCTGCTGCTGCTGCTGCTGCTGCTGCTGCTGCTCTCTCTCTCTCTCTCTCGGCGAGCCCAGGGGGGGAAATGAGAAGAAGAGGGCCTTCTCAGCAGGCTCGGACTCCTTCGGGCCTTCTGAGAAATTTTCAAAGCCTTCCCCGAAGACGCAGAAAACCTTTCAGAAGGCCGGAGGGCTTCTGAGAAGTTTCGCCGCCAGCTGAGAAGGCTTTCTCCCTCTCACTTCCCCCCCTCGCTCGCCGCCGACTCTCTCTCTCTCTCTCATTCTCTCGCTTCTCTTCCCTCTCCCCGACGCTTCCCTCCTCCGCCTAGCTCGGAGAGAACGGTAGCTCAAACCCGGGCCAACTACGTACCGTTGTCTCGAGGGCCCCCACCAGGGCCAACTACGTACCGTTGTCTCGACCCGCCCTGCTCTGATCATGCCCGACGCTCCCCTCCTCCGCTCAACCAGACGAAGCCAGGACGAGGACAAACTCGGGCGAGGATAAACCAGAAATCTCTGAGACCCAGCAGCTCTAGAGGATGTCGCGGGCGGCGCGGCCGTCCCAAAGCGCCCCCCGGAACGCTCTGAGAGCGTTCTGGAACGGATCTGTCCCCGTCCCAGCCCCGCCCGATCCCACCCCCGATCAGCTCGTCTCAGGCGCGGCGGCGGTGCCGACGACAACGACGACGACGACGACGACGACGGCGGCGGCGGCGGCCACGGCAGCGACGGCAGCGACAGCGCTGCACTCGGAGGCCGCGACCCCGCGCCGCGAGTGCGCGCCCGCCCGTACGCGCAGGACTCGGCGCGCGCCGCGCGGCGCGCCGCGCCTCCCTGGCGGTCTGCAGCTCGCTGTGCCGGCACAGCCTGCCCCGGCCCCGGCCCGCTCTGGGCAACCCGGCCGCCGTCGCCGTCGCCGTCGCCGCCGTCGTCGCCGCCGCCGCCGCCGTCGCCGTCGCCGTCGCCGTCGCCGTCGCCGTCGCCGTCGCCGTCGCCGTCGCCGTCGTCGTCGTCGTCGTCGTCTTCGTCGTCGTCGTCGTCCTGCTCCACCTCCACCTGCACCTCCCGCTCGTTCCCCTGATCCTCCCCTCGTCTTCCTCCTGCTGCCGCTTTTCTACCACCCATTCCTTCTCCATCTCATGCTGGTCCTCGTCATCGTTCTCATCGTCCTCCTCCTTCGTGTCTTCAGCTTCCCCTTCCTGTTCCTCCCGCCCAGCCCTGGTCCTCCTCGTTATCCTCCTCCTGCTGGCTTTGTAAACCCTGCATGCACCATGCTCGCTTTTTTCTTTACCCCCGTACCCCCGTCGCACGACCCCTTCCCCCCCACTCCCGTCGCTGCTGATTATCCTCCTCCTCCTGGGACGCTGGGCGCTGGAGGTATTGGATTTAGTGGTCGGAGCTTAACATGCTGCTGCTGTTCCTCCTTCCTGCCCACCATTCCTTTTTCCATCATGTCTGTTCCCTGCTCCCCTCCACCGATCCCCTACTCCCTCTTCTCTCTTGCCTCCTCCGCCTACTGAGCATCCTCCTTCTTTTCCTCTTCCTCTCGTCCTCCTTCAAGGACGCTTCGGAGGAGGATCGTGATGAAGGGGAGAATGGGGGGGCGAGGATGGCGAGGAGGAGGAGGAGGAGGAGGGGGAGGAGGGGAGACGTAGAGAGAGGACCCTGGGTTCAGCTTTGCCACGGTCCAGACTGCTTTCCATATAAATCGATGCGCTTGAAGGGATATGTGGGCCTGCTCCCCAAACGGGGGATGAGGAGGGGGAGGATGACGAGGAGAAGGAGGATGAATGTGAGGGAGGCGGAATGCAAGGAGGAATCGGTCGGGGAGGAGGAGGAGCAGAAGGAGGAGGAGGAGGAGGAGGAACTCGAAGAGGAAGAATCTGACAATCGAGGCGGGGGAGGAGGAGGAGCAGGAGGAGGAGGAGGAGGAGGAGGAGGAGGAGGAGGAGGAGGAGGAGGAGTAGGAGGAGGAGGATGCGGATGAGGAGGGGGAGGAGGAGCAAAAACAGGAGGGGGAGGAGGAGGAGGAGGAGGAGGAGGAGGAGGAGGAGGAGGAGGAGGAGGAGGAGGAGGAGGAGGAGGAGGGGGACCAGAGTAATCCTCAGGGTATTCAGCGGTTTTGGAATATCACCCCTCCAAGCTCCTTCTACGTAGGCCCTTACAAGGATTCATTTCCACTCGGGATGTGCCCCATTGGGGGGCAGCCGTCTGAAGATCCTGAAACGTGCCAAACTACTTTTCAGGGGACTTCAACGCCGCGAATGACTGTAACTGTTGCGCTCTGATTCGCCTGAACCGTTCCGAAACACCATTTCTGGTACGTTGACCATGGGAATCTGTGACGCTCTTGCACATGTTGAAAGCGAATGTGCGCGGCGCGAACGCGAGAGTCACACTTTGGAAAGGAACTGCCCTCAATTCGTGAAGCCCTGAAATGTTCTTAAGACGAGTGTGCGCGGCGCTACAGCGAGAGCCACGTGATGAAAACCACCCGCCCTCACTTCGTGAAGCTTTTGTATATTTATGCGGCGCGAAAGCGAGAGCCACATTTCGAAAACCGCTCGCCCTGAATTCGTGAAACACTTGGAGTGTTTTGAGCGAATTTGCGCGGCGCTGCGGCGAGAACCACATTTTGAAAACCACCCGCCCCCGATTCGTAAAATTTGTTGCAAGTGCTTCAATATCATGAGTGGTAAGGGAGTCTCAAGTGAAACGCCCAGCCCGCCCTTCCGACTGGCATCGGGGTGCGACAGGGAGGAATTACCTATAAGGAAAACGACTGGGGGAGGGGAAGGAGCGAGGAGGGGGTGAAGGAGGAAGAGGAGGAGGAGGAGGAGGAGGAATAGGAGGAGAAGAGAAGGAGGAGGAAGAGGAAGAGGAGGCGGAGGAGGGGGAGGAGGAGGGGGAGGAGGAGAAGGAGAAGGAAGAGGAGGAGAAGGAGGAGAAGGAGGAGGAGGAGGAGGAGGAGGAGGGGTGGGACCGCGGCGCCTGCCGGTGGGACCGCAGCGAAGCGCTCGCCTACGTGCTCCCAAATAAGCCAGCTATAGGCTCCGGCCGGCGCACCCCTTCCTCCTCGGAGATGGCTCGCCGCCGAGCGGTGGGCCGAAGCTGGGGTGGGGGGGTTGTGCTGGCTCCCGACTACAACGCTCCGGCCGCGGGAGACCCGCGAGCGGCGCAGGAGGAGGAGGAAGAGGAGGAGGAAATGGAGGATGAGGAGGAAGAGGAGGAGGAGGAGAAGGAGAAGCAGGAGGAGGAGGAGGAGGAGGAGGAGGAGGAGGAGGAGGAGGAGGAGAAGGAGAAGGAGGAGTGGGGGGGAGGAGGAGGAGGATGAGGATGAGGCTGAGGATGAGGAGGAGGAGGAGGAGAAGGAGGAGGAGGAGGAGAAGGAGGAGGAGGAGGAGTGGCGGGAGGAGGAGGAGGATGAGGATGAGGATGAGGAGGAGGAGGAGAAGGAACGAGGCGAGGTATGTGGAGGAGGAGGAGGAAGAAATGAAAAAGGAGGGGCAGGATGAGGCCGAGGAGGAGGAGGAAGAGGGGGAGGAGGAGGAGGAAGAGGAGGAGGAGGAGGTGAAGCAGGAGGAGGAGGAAGAGGATGAGGATGAGGAGAAGGACGGTGAGGAGGAGCAGGGAGGAGGAACGAGGCCGCAAGCAAACCTGGTACCGCGCCCCCGGGCACTCCTGTTCAGCTTCCTGAGCTCCGCCAGGTCCATCGCCCCCGACTGGTCCAGGTCCACCAGGGCCAGGAGGTCCTCGCCGCGGGCGGGGCCCAGGGCGATCCCGCCTTCTGCCCGCGGACCGGCCGAGGATCAGAGGTCCTGGGGGCTCTTGGCCCGCCCTATAACACCGACGATGTTTTTTTTGTTGTTTCTCCTGGTCCTGGCATCTTTCCCCGACGTCGGCCTCCAAGGTGTTGTCGTGCCCAAGGGCCCTCGGAAACGGTCCAGGGGGCGCGAAACCGCCCCAAAGGGGAAGGGGGTCGGGACCTTTGGGGCCCCGGACCCGAAAAAAGACATCGTTGGATGTCTGGGTCGTCTGGGCCCCGGAAGCCTCCAGGGACATCCCGGGGAGGGGCCAGGATCCTCGAATCCCCCTCCCCCCGCTCAATCCCGCCCCCTCCTCCTTCCCAGAGCCTCCGCTGCCCTCCTCCTCGAACCTTCCTCTCCTTCCTCTCCTCCTCGAGCCTCCCTGCCTTCTCGATCCTCGATGTCCTCGAGAGCCTCCTCGATCCGTCGATGTCATCGTTCCTCGATGCCCTGGAGAGCCTCTTCGATCCTCTATTCTAGATGTCCTCGAGCCCGTCGTCCTCCTCGACCCCCGATCCTCGATGTCCTCGAGAGCATCCTCGATCCCGCGGATCGGCACCAGACCACGTTCGAATAGAACATCGACTACATACACAATTGATGAACACCATGTTGCTTTCCGTGAGATTTGCGGAACATGATTTGCAGGATACTCGGGCGAGGGTCCGGAGGAAAACCTGGAGGAAACTCCGGGCGAAGATCTGGGGGGAGATCTCGGGGAAACTCTTCAGGGAGATCTGGCGAGATATGTGAGCAAGATCTGGAGGAAGATCTGGGCGAAAATCCAGTGGAGATCTTGTGGAAGATCTGAACGGGGATGAGGCGCAAAAACTGGGGTAGATCTGGAGGAATATCTGGGCGACGATATGTCGGGAAATCTAGTTGAAGATCTGGAGGAAGAGCTGGCGAGATATCGAAAGAACATATGGGGGGAGATCTGGAGGAACACCTGGATGAAGATCTGGGCAAAATCTGGAGGAAGATCTGGGCGAAGATCTGGTGGGGGACCTGGGCAACGATGTGGAGGAACATTTGGTGGACGATCGGCGGGGGAGATCTGGAAGAAGATCTGAAGGAACATCTGGGCGAATACCTGGGACGATATCCAAGGGGAGATCTGGAGGACACTTTGGAAGAATAGCTGGCGGAAGATCCTGGCAAGTGTCCAACAATTAGAAAGCTGGCTCAGCTTTTTGGAATCCGGTATTGAAAATTATCAAGTTTTGAAATCCAGCTCGGCGGGGGGTGTTTCTTACTAGAAGATGGTCGTGTACGGAGGCGGGAGCAGAGCAGGAGGGAAGAGAGGAGGAGGGAGGCGGGAGGTGTGCGACCGCATTGCTTTATTCCAAACGAAGATACAACGCAGGAGGGTTAGAGGAAAGGAGACATCCATATCATAGGCTGGCCCGCAGGCAACCATGTAAAAAACGTCGTCTTACCCACCTCTTGCTGACTGGCACGGGGCAGCTTCTGTGGGCCAAGCGCCGTAGCAGGCAACAACAACTTGTCCGCATTCCATTGCCATCGCAAGGGCCCAACCCGCCCGCCCTCCTCCTCCTCCTCCTCTTCCTCCTCCTCCTCTTCCTCCTCCTCCTCCTCTTCCTTCTCCTTCCTCGACATCCTCCTCCTGCTGCTGGTACCTCTCGCCCTCGTGCGGCGAAGCCTGCTGGCGCGCGACGACCCCTCCTGCAGAGTGGCGAAGGTGGGCTCCCCCTGCGGCGAACCGCCAAGCGTGGGGCGTCCTGCTGCACCTCCCAGGAGAGGAAGCAACCGAGCCAGCGCATGATCTTCCGTGTCTCGGGTTCGGGGGAAAGAGGGGGGGGGGGACGAGGAAAACGAGGGATGGATGGACGAGGAGAAAGAAGGCGGACCAGTGTATACCCAAGACTCGTCAACGGCGTCCATCTAAGCACCCTCCAAGGGCTCATTTCCACTGAGGGTATTGCCTCTGCAGACCCTGAAGCGTGCCAAAACACCGTTCTCGGGACTCGAGCGCCACAAATCAACCTGACTGTTGCGCCTTGACGATCCAGAACCGTGCCAGCAAACCATCCTTGGGATTTCTACACAGCGATTAAACGTAACTGCTGCGCCCTCACAGTCCTGAGTCCTTCCAAAACACAATTTCTGGCACGTTGGCAATGGGAGCCCGTGATGCTATTGCAAATGTGTAAGACAAGTGTGCGCGGGAGCCACTCAGGGGGTCTCAAGCGAAACGCCCAGCCCGCCCTTTCGACCGGCTCCAGGGTGCGACAGGGAGGAGTTATCTATAAGGAAAACATGGAAGAAGGAAGGGGGGACGGGAGATGGGGGAGAAGACGAAGAGGGAGGAGAAGGAAGGACGGGAGGGAGGTAGGCATGTCCGCGCCACCGCACACTCACGGCATCGCGCTGGAGACTTCAGGCCGGGAGGGCGCATATATGACATGCTCGCCGTTCGTGAGTCCTTCCAGGAACGCCCTGCACTTTGCTCTCGGCCGGGCGTCGCGCCGAAGGTCTCTCGCGACGAACGTCTCGCGTGTGCGCGGCAGCGGCGGGGCCGGGCCCACCCAATCGGATGCCGGGAGGCCGATGCGGCCGCGCCGTGCCCGCTGTGCGCGCCGTCCAGCGCGTTCTCCCCTGTGCGCGGTGGAAGCCGCGCCGGCTCAGCGTTGAGAGTCGGTCGTCGCCCACTGCGCGGGGCGCGCGACGGGAGGGAAGCGAGAGGGCGCAAACCTTCTCAGGAAGGCGGCGGGGCCTCTAAGACGCCCTCGCGGCCTTCTGAGAAGCCGTCTCTGCCCTCGGAGAAGGCTCAGACCAATTCTCAAAAGGCTCCCTTCTGAGAAGGCCCGCCCACTCTGCATTCCCCTTGGGCGCGCCGCCGACAACTGGCATGAAGGAAACGGGTCCCGAGGGAAACGGGTCCTGGACCTGGGAGCTTTCTCCCCAGGGCCAGGTTTTCACCCCGAGTCGCTTTCTGACACTACTGGGGCCCTGGGAAGGCCCCAGGAGCCATACCCCGGCCTAAAACCTCCAGGGCCCGCTTCCCTCAGGACCAGCTTGCGTCGTGGCGAACAGAAAGTTTGAGGTGAGCATCGTCTGCTTGGCGTGGCGCGCCGCTGGATCTGGCGCACCACGCGTCGGCACGACACGCTTCGCACGCCCCAGCCCCCACGCATCGACGTGCTGAGCTTTGCCCAGCCCTCCCGTCCCACGAAGCAGAGCGACACGCTGTCAGCTCGCAAGGCATGGCGTGTCGCTCGCCATCGCTCGGACGTCCATTCCCTGCACTTTTTTTCGGTTTCGTGCGTGGTTTTTTCGCCACATGATCAAGGATGCTCCTCGATGGTCCCCACCGAGGAAAAATGCACACGTCCGAGCGATGCCAAGGTCGCGGGGGCCGCGCTACTCACCGCAAGAATCTCGGGTGTGGCCGTCTGGCCGTCTCCGCTCGCGCAAGCGCGCCCCGCGTCATACCGCACGGGGACCCGCGCATCAACGTCGCCGCGCGCTCTGCAGATGATGATCTGTTGGGCTGCGTCGGCTCCAATGCTGCTGGAGGGAGGGTGGGATAAGGGGGCAGGGTCCGCTGACTCGCTCGGACTGTCAACCTTGATTCCTACGGGGCCCGCTGAATCGTTCACCCTGGTTCGCCCGACCACCCGACCTTGACACTTATTCCTGTTTGCTACATACTCCTACTAGTTATGCCACCTAGCCGGCCGACTGCCGTTCAATCGGGGACCTTCCATCCTACCCATCAAAAGCGATACACAGTCTACGTTTTTTTCAACATGCACGTTTTGCCGTCGACGTTGCGAAATGTGTGGCCATGGCGAGATGGGGCGCGCGCCCTGCGAGAAAGGTTAAGCTGTCGCTCTCTCCTCGGCACCGCGCTCACTCTCCTGAGTTGAGCTCCCGCCCAGGCGCAGCGTACATGGTGCCGCTCTCAATCGGACATTCGGGCGCCCGAGAGGAGGCCAAACGGTGCTCCCGCCGCAGCGCCGCGCGACGATTTTCTGGAGTTCCACCGCTCCCGCTCGTGCGCAGCCCGCGCTTTCCATCCCCCCCCTCCCCTTGCGCGCCCAAGCGCTTGCACGCTTGAGCGCGTGCACACATGAGCGCGCCCGAGCCTTGCCTCTTCCCTGATCGCACGTGCTCTCGCTTAGTCTGCTATTGCGCCGTCTAGGCGCAGCTCCCCCCCCCATCGCCAAGCCATCGGACGCTGGACCGCGCGCGAGCGACTTCCGTTCGACAGACAGACAGACAGACAGAGCCCGCGCCGAGGCACCTACGAGGGGTGCGGCGGGTGGGCGCCGGGGCGCCGAGAAGGGTTGGCCGCTCAGAGACAGCCCTAGTCGGAGCGGTAAGAGCGGGAGTCGGAAAGAGTCGGAGACTGTAGTGGCTGGAGGGCCTGGAGTCGGAGAGGTGCGAGCCGGAATCGGAACAAAGGAGGGGCTGGAGTCGGAGAGGTGCCACCGGAAGCGCGACCCCAGATCTTGCCAATACTCCGTCGACGCGCCGGGCGGGAACGCGCTCCAGGCCCAGTGCCAAGCTGCGCCACCACTGATACCCTTCGCTCAGGGGAGGCGGGGTGGCAACGGGCGGGGCCCGTCGGTTCGCTCGACCTGGCGAACTTGACTCCTGCTCCTACTCAAGGATCGTCATTCCTTACTAGTAATTATCCCCTACTGGCACATTGAGGCGTGGTGGAACGCCAAACGCAATCTGGTGCGGCTCCCGCGAATCTTCTAAGCCCCCCCTCTCGACACGCCTGGCTGCATGCACCGTCCCCCCCCCCCTCCCGAGGGTTCCGGGGTGCCCCGACGCGTTCCTTGCGCTCTCCATGGTTTGCAGTCTGCCCAATCTGACTTCCAGGATGGCTCAGGTAGACCACCAAGGTCGCCAAGATGACCCAACATCGTCTCAAAACGCACCCAATAACCTCTCGCAAACGCCCAATAGGTCCCACAAGGCCTCAATTCATCGTCAGGGTGTTCTCCAGGACGTCTTCCGCTTGACCTCCCACGAGCTACCAGAAAAAAGCGGCACTTGCGCAGTCGGCAGCCCCCAAGAGAGCGCGAGGTCTAGTCTGGGTCAGCATGGCGCGTCGCTCCGCTGGACCACCCAGATTGCGACAGTTGTGCAGTTGGTAGTCTCCCAAGAGCGCGGGGGCGAGTCTGGGTCCGCGTGGGAGGTCGCTCCGCTGGACCTCCCATGAGCCCACGACAGTTTTTGTTCTTCCCAGTAGACATGCGCACAAATGTCGATCTTGAGCCACATGGCTGCGTCCACGCACCCACTGGCCGGAAGTCCGACATGTTACAACCTGTCACGCGACCAAACCCGTACAATTCAAGAATCAAGTCCTCACCTGTTATGCTACAGATGTTATGCAAGCACTGTGCTGCTGCTACCCCGTATGGTCCCAACGACCACTTATGTAATGAGGCCTCACACCATGACTCTGGAAAGGATGACGCACAGTGCATCCTCGGCAAAAGCCCATGCGGCGACGTGGCCGATAGAAAACATCCTCACATTCCTATCAAGTCGGGGGCGGGAGCGAAAAAGGGGGAGCGAGGGAGGAACAAGGAGGGAGGGCGACAGCTTGCCACAAACTGCTTGGGGAACACCTGATGGTGAAAGCGGTTGGGCGCAGACACTCGCCAACTACGACTACGCACTCGAGCGATGGCGCTCGGGCGCTCAAGCGCCCAGCACCGCGCGTGGAAACCATGACGATGACGGCGTTCAGGCGAACCTGGCGTGAGGCCAGAGGCCAGGGTCAACCAGCAGCGGGCACGGACAGGCCCGCACGCAGTGCTCATGCACGCGGTGCGCTGAAATGCAGTCGATGGGGAGGAGGAGGAGGACAAGAGGGAGGCGGGGAGGAAGGGGGGGAGGAAGGAGAAATGGAAAGGAGGGGGAGGAGCAGGGGGAGGAGGGGAGGAAGGGGAGGAGGGGAGGAAAGGGAGGAGGAAGGGGAGGAGGGGAGGAGGGAAGGAAGGGGAGGAGCAGGACAAGAGGGAGGAGGGGGAGGGAAGGGGGGGAGGAGGGAGAAATGGAAGCGTCCTGCCAACAGCGGCGCGCAACCTGCCCGGCTGGCATCGACCGGCCCACGACGGTGGCGACAGTTGTGCCAGTGGCAGTCTGCCAGGGAACGCGAGGCACAGTTTTAGGTCGGGCCTGTCCCCCTACAGGCGGATTTTGAACGAAGTACGAAAAATGTACAAAACATGCTCAACAAATGCTCCAAAGTGGTCAACACATCGTCCCCAGACTACTTTTTGACTATTTTGGAACACTCCCCCCGTAGAGGTGCAGGCCCGACTTGAGCACAGTTAGGGTCCGCGGAGGGTGTCGCTGCGCTGGGCAGCCCAGGAGCTCACGAACGTTGCGACGGCTGCGCCACGGGCAGTCGGCAGTCCCCTCGGGCGCCGCGTGGCCCCGACTGGTTCGGCGGTCCACGCTCCGCTGGGCCTCCCCAAGACTCGCGAGCTGGGTCCGGGGGCTCCGTCCCTCGTCCCCTCTTCGGCCCCTTCGGGCCCTCCGTCGCGCGTCGGCGACCGTGCAGGAGCTACTGTTTTCGACGATCGCCCGCGAGGAAATCACCAGAAACGGCCGCGGGAGGAGAGACCGGGGCAGGGTGGGCCCTGGAACGCCCGCGGCTTGCCCGAGAAAATCAGGAGGCAAAGAAACACGCAGACGCAGTTGATCGTCGACTCCCGGAAACATAGGGGAAACCATGGGAAGTGGGGGGGAAGACGAAACCCAAGAACACATGGGACAACATGGGGAATCCTGTGATTTGTGTGTGTGTTTATTTGTGCGCCCCTGGGCCCCTTGGGAAGAGAGAAAAGAGAGGCCGGGATCGGCGGCGAGCCCTCGCGGGGAAGGTGAGACGGAGGCGGAACTCTCGGAGGGCGCGGAGGTCCCCCTGGCCTTCTGCCCAGTTCTTGGAGCCTTCCCCGAGGGCGCATGACCTTCTGCGAAGGCGAGGGGGCTTCTGAGAAGTCCCGCCGCCCTCTGAGCAGGCCTTCTGAGCAGCTCTTGGAGCCTTCCCCGAGGGCGCAGGAACTTCTCGGAGGGCGCGGGGGCTTCCGAGGAGTCCCGCCGCCCTCTGAGGAGGCCTTCTCCTTCTCGCTTCCCCCCCTCGCTTGCCGCCGAGAGGAGACGGGAGAGATCGCGCAATCAGCGCTCTATTCAAGACGAGGGCCCATCCAGAGGAGGGTAGGGAACGAACCAGTGCACGTTCATCCCTTCACATGGACGTTCTGCCGCCGACGTTGCAGACGACGTGGAGGCACTGGGGCACTGCGCGCATCGCTCGCGACACGACGACATGTCGCCATCGCCTTCGCCGCGCGCCCGCATCTGATGAAAGCTGTGCTCCTGCCTGGGCGGAGCGCCCACACTCCGATCGCCAGCTCGACCTGCGCCGGGGCCGCGCGCCGGCGCGGCGCCGCGCAGCTCTCGCCCGCGCGCCGCGCAGGCTGCGCCCGAGAGGGGCGCCCCCGCCCGGGCCGCGCGCTTCCCTCGCCGCGCCGCGCGGCGGCGGGGTCGCGCGCGCCGCGCGACGCGGACCGCCGCGCTTGCCCTCCCACCGGGGCGCGCGGCGCATGATCATCGCTCGCCCAAGTCGCCGGAAGCGGGCGAAGAAGGGGGTAGGCGTAAGTCGGGCCTGTCCCCCTACGGGGGGATTTTGGTCGAAACATAAAGAATAGTCAAAACATGCCCCAACACGGCCGAAAAAATGCTCAAAACATCATCCCTGGACTATTTTTGGACTATTTTCAAATCTCCCTCCTGTAGAGGGACAGGCCCGACTTAAGGGTAGGCTTGAGGGGGGAAGGTTTCTCGGAGGGAGGCCGCTGCTTTTTAGAAGGCGCGGGCCCTGCATCTGCAGAGAAGTCCCGCGCCTCCTAAGGAGCAGGGGTGCTTCTAATGAGCCTCGCCCCTTCCCCCTACCCCCGTCTGCGCGTGGCCGACAGTCGTCGGAAGCGGACGCGGGGCCGCGCGCGAGCGGGCCGAGTGGTGCTCTCGCCGAACCGCCGAATGGGGGGTCCCTCGAAGGCTCAGCTCTTGCCTGTGCGCGGCCCATGTGCTTCCTCCTAAGACGAGGCCAGGACGAGGATATAACATCGGGCGAGGGTGAAGGCGAGAATCTCTGAGGTGCGGCGGCTCTGGGGGATGCCTCAGGCGCTGCGGCCGTCTCAGAGCGTTCTGGGCCGCTCCGGAACGGATGCATCCTCGTCCTCGCCCCGTCCGACCTCCGCCGAGTCGTCGGCACTGGGGCCGCGCGAGGGGGGCGAACGCCGTCCATCTGCCTGATGGGAGCGCGCGCGAGCCCCCAGATCCAGCCGTGCCGGCATCGGCTCTTGTGCTGTGGGCGGGAGGGTGGCAGCGGGCGGGGCCCTCTGGCTCTCTCGAGCCGGCTGGCTTCGCCCTGGTGCTGCTCCTGCTGGCGGCCAGAGCGGTTCGATGCGCAATCGAGATATACCGCTCATATGTGCCAGTGTGCACCGCGCCGCTCCTGCCCCCCGACCTCCGCCTCCTCCTTCCTCTCCTCCTTCCTCTCCTCCTTCTTCGCCTTCTTCTCCTCCTCTTCCTCCTCGTCCTCCTCCTCCTTCTCTTCCGACTCCTCCTCCTCCACCTCCTCCTCCTTCTCCTTGTCCTCGTCCTCGTCCTCGTCCTCCTCCTCGTCCTCCTCCTCCTCCTCCTCCTCCTCCTCCTCCTCCTCCTCCTCCTCCTCCTCCTCCTCCTCCTCCTCCTCCTCCTCCTCCTCTTCTCCTGCTGCCTTCCAGCCTCCGCCTCCTCGTCGTCGTCGCCGCCGTCCCCCTCCTCCTCCGCCTCCTCCTCCTGCTTCTCCTCTCCCTGCCCCTGCCCCTCCCCCTGCCCCCGCGGAGACGCCTCCAGCGTCGAGATCTCTCCAGACTGGTCGGCGTCGAACATCACGAAGGCCCTGTCGATCTCCGCCGTCTCCTGCCCGTCGCCCTCCCTCTGGCGGGCGCATGGAGACAGAGAGCCCTCCACCACCGTCGTCGTCGTCGTCGTCGTCGTCGTCGTCGTCGTCGTCGTCGTCGTCGTCGTCGTCGTCGTCGTCGGTCGTAAGTCGCCACCCTCCTCCAGCACCTGCACCTGCTCCCGCTGCTGTTGCTCCTCCTCTCCGCCTGCTCCTGCTCCTGCTCCTGCTCCTCCTCCTCCTCCCTTGCCTCTCGTCTCGCGGCTCTGGTGTTGCGCCCGGGCGAAGACTGGTTATGGGGATTCTTACCCGCCGGCCCCCGCCCAGGTTCTTGCCCCGCGAGACGCACGGGCACAAGTCAGGAAATGAGTGCATAAATGCATACACCGATAAGTACATAGACAAGTCATGCATGCCTGGATGCGTAGAATAACAAAAACATGACAAACAATATTATGCCAGCCGGCGGTCGGTGACACTGCATGGCCGGATGGTATAGCATCGCCCTGGCACCTGCTACCACGTAATGGCAACTGTCTGTGGGGTTTCCCGCACGGTCACTTGCCCGCTCTCGCAAGCCTGCCTGTGAGGATGCCGATGCGAATGTGCTGGTCGATCTCGAACATTTGCAAGGCAATGCATCGGCCAATCAAAAAGATACACGCGCTTGTATAAATAAATGTATTCATACAGAAACACGAATGAATACATGAAGAAATGACCATGCACAAATATGACTCACGCCTTACCGAATACCATGGATGTGAATCCAAAAACACTGTTCGAATGTCACGGAATCGGTGCGGGGCCACATCCGTCAACCAACGTTGGACTGGTAATCGGAACGGGCACAAGTAGGGATGACCGCCGGACGGCCACTATAACACGGTACATCTTATGTATATAGTGCGAGCAGAGGGTATGTGTCTCCTCTCTCATCCGAGCTTCCTCCTCCTCCTCCTCCTGCTCCTCCTCTTTCTCTGATCCCCCTCCTCCTCCTCTTCCTCCTCTTCCTCCTCCCTCCCTTAAGGCGTGTTGGAACTACTCGGTTCGTATGGGGGGCCTCTGTTTAGCGGCCCGCGTCGTTGCCCTCGAGGTCATGACTCGCTTCGTCACGCATCACATTAATCTCGATGCTCGTGCGCACGCTCTTACACTCGCTCAAGGTGTTTCCTCGGCTTGGTCTCGGCAGGATTTCAAGGAGGCGTTCTCGAAACTCAAGGCCATGGGAGCCTGCTCTCGTCGCAAACGTTCGGTTCGTCCTCTTCCTACCCTCCTCGGTGTCGACGGCAAACCACTCACATCGTTCGTCGAGGTTGCGAATCGCTGGCTTCAGCACTTTAGCAACGAGGAGGCCGCACCAGTTATACCAGAGTCTGACCTACTTTGGTTTCTGGCCTCGCATCCCGCCCTCGACGCGTCGGTGACGCACAATGTGGACGTTAACATAGAGGACGTGCCGTTCCTCGCAGTCACTCAGCACACGTTTTCCTGCGCCAAAGCCTCGGCGGCAGGGCCCGACGGCATCCCAGGCGCAGTATTGAAGCAGTTTGCGATTTTACTTGGCAGCTATTTCCACCCACTGTACGTTAAGAGCACGGTGCGCATTTGTGAACCTATTCAATGGAAGGGTGGTTTTTACTGGAGTCTATTCAAGGCCGGGGTTCCCTTGAACGTCAAAAACTATCGGTCCATCCTGGGTTCCTCCCAAGTCGGCAAACGCTTTCGTGCTCTTACGCGTGCCAGCGCTGTACCCTTCCTCACGGAAGCTGTGGAAGTCAGACAGTTCGGAGGTATCCCAGGCCGAGGCACGGAGTTTTCAGCTTTGGAGTTTCGGGTATTTCAGCAGAGAGCCGAGGCCGAAAACAAATCTGTCATGATGCTTTTCATCGACGCGGTGCAGGCTTTCTACAAATCAGTTCGGGAGCTGTTTTTTCACACCTCCGCCAGCGACGAAGCAGTGGCAGCCCTGCTGAAGTTCTGTGGTCTCCCAGCGGAGGCTACTCATGAGCTGGCCGAACATATTAAGCATTGTATCCGATCCTGGAGCAGTGTAGTGTTTCCGCTCTTCGTCGGGGGCAGTTCTCGGATTCGTATGAGCAATCCTGGTTCTATATTCGGGACGGTGATGGTGTGGCGTTTCCTTCCTTGGGCTCTGGACCTGGTCAGCAGCTGGGGGATGTCGTCTTCAACTTCGTGATGTCCAAAATCATGGCCACTGCTCAAGAAGGTCTCCTAGAATTGGGAGTCGGTCTACATATTCCGTGTCACCTTTCGTCCTCGCTCGCAGTATACCGTGCTCAAGGAGCACAGGAAGCTCCAGTGCACCAGTGCCACGTCCTGGACGGTGCCTTTTTCGATGATGCGCTATTCTGTTTCGCTGGTCGTGCAAGTGATCTCTTATTTCAAGCGCCGTTTGTTGCAGCAGTGGTCATTGAGGCCTGTACGTCCCTTGGTCTCCAGATCAATACCAAGCCAAGCAAGTCAGCCTTTATGTTTCAGTTCAGAGGTCCGACGTCTAAGATTGCCAAACGTGCTCTTGTTCATGAGCAACATAACATTATACGTACCCGCACACACATTGGGTGATGTTGAACTTCATCGGGTTCAAGAGTATGTTCATCTTTGTGGCACACAGGCTCCATAGTTGCTCCCAGGCCTGGAAGGTTCTCAAGTCCAAGGTGCTCAAACACAAGGTCATTGACAAGCATGTGGCCCTCACGTTCCTGGATTCCCTGGTATGCTTTGGGAGGCTCTTTCAGGCCAGTACTTGGGGATACCTATCGTCTGCTCAGTATCGACACCTGCAGGACGGCTTGATGTCGTATTATAGAGTTATCGCCAAGCTCCCGAGGACGGACGAATCAACTGTTTCCCATGACTGTGTGCTCGCGCAAGTGTGTCGACCACCTTTGCAGGGCCTCCTTTCAGCTCATCGACTTCGTTTGTTCGGTCGTTTACTTCGGACAGGGCCTCCTCACATTTTGGCTCTTGTTCATGATACCATGCGTATCTCGTCGAGGACCTGGGGCCAGATGATTATGGAGGATCTTCGTTGGTTGCAATTATACTCCCATCGATTCCAGGACCTCGCCGACCCGGAAGCAGACATGTCGTGCTGGGAGCTCGTGGCTTTGAAATCCCCGTCTTCGTGGAAGCAAACCATCAAGATGGCCCTCGGATCCCATGTTAGGCAATTGCAAAGGGACACACTTGCTAGAAGTGCAGAGGCGCACATACTTAGCATTCTCGAGTCTGCGGGCGTGCCGCCAGCATGGGACGATCCTCGCCACCGTTTACGTGCATAGGAGCAAGCGGATGCCAAACTACATTCTTGTATGTGGTGCTCTATGAGGTTTGCTCGTATTCGTGGGCTCAGGGCCCACATTCAACGCAATCACCATTCCAGGGTCGATTTCATTCGGAACTGCCTAGGGCCAGAACTACGTTGTCGGTCTTGTTTTCAGAGGTTTGCGCATCGGTCGGCGCTTACAGCACACTTGGCATTCGACTCTCCGCGGTGCGCAGTTGGCCTGATTATTACGGAGCCTTGCTGCACGGTGGCTGAAGCTCAGCAACTGCAGCAGGCAGAACACGAACGCTTCCGAGCACAGCGCGCAGCAGGCCAAGGCCGTTGGCGCACGGAGGTACCCGCTACCAAGCTAGTCGGTTCGACTCGGCACCAACTTATTCGTGATATTTCTTGGCCCCTCTCCCAACGTGACGCTCTTCGCGTCCTACTCGAGACCGACCCCGCCATCCCCAACGACGAGATAGACCAGTACCTTCAAATATTTTCGGACGAACCTCCCCCCGAGGACCCTTCCCTAGAGGTCCCGTTCTACGTGTACAATCCTGGTGAATTCTCGGGAATCTCCACTACTTCGGTGCCGATTCGAATTCGCCGACCTACCCTGTACGTGTTGAACCTCTACTGCGGACGCAGGAGACAGGGCGACGTGCAGTGGCATGTCGAGTGTACTTGCACGCAGCCTTCCATTGAATTGATAGTACTCAGCGTGGACATTGCCATTGACGCAGTGCGAGGAGACCTCACAAAGGAGAGTACGTTATTCGAATGGATTGAGCACATCAGATGCCACAGAGTGGTCAACACTGGGGGGGGGGCCCTTGTGAGACATGGTCTGCCTCCAGGTGGCACGAGGGAGGCCCCCCCCCCCCCACTCAGGTCCCCAGACTACGTATGGGGTATGCCGTGGGTGTCTTGGAGTCAACCTGAGCAACTTCGAGTAGGGTCTCAGCTTTTACATTCTCTGGTTCGGCTTCTGGCAGAACATCCGAGGGCTGGCACGGGGGGGGGTGGCTTGAACACCCTTCCCCTGCCACATGGGCCCCTAGGGCCCCTTCTAGTTTCAGATGGCGGCCCATGGAGGCCATTGTAGCAGCGCCCTGTGCGCGTATCACGTCTTTCGATCAATGTGAACATCAGGATCCACAGGTTGATCCTAGCACGGTGGGCCGAGCGCCCACTACAATTTTGTCTATTCGTATGGGGACCCTGCCAGACCTCCTCAAGGCCACTACAGGTTCTGGTAGGTGCTCTCACGGGCGCCAGGCCCATCGCACGCTTTTAGGCAAGAGTTCTTCAGGACAGTTCCATTCTGCGTCTAAGAAGACATACCCATCCAGTTTGTGCCTTGCCCTAGCCACTGCTATCGTGGATAGCATCAGCGTTCTTCTCCCCCCGTCCTTGGAGCCTCCCTCCTCCTCCGACGAAGAAGTATACGAAGTGGCGGAATATCCGCCCGACTTGCAAGAAGTTCGAGAGTCTCTATGTGAGTTTTTCGTTTCCTGGGACCGTGAGGCTCAGCAAAGTTTCGAGCCTGCCCCTGACTTCGCAGGGATCAACCAGAGATCACGGCCCAAGGACCAGCACGAGAGTTTCCGTTTTCTCGACTCAGACTCAGAGGAAGCTGAGGAGACTGGCGCCGAAGTTGTTCGGCCATCGTCTGACCCTGTGCTGCCCCCCTCGGAGTTTCCCGAGGATGCAGAGGCGGAG